ACATTGAAGTTTTTACCATTATTCATCAACTTCTTCGGGACACTGAAAAATATACTTCATCAACTGTCCAAGACATCAATGACATTGAAGAATCGCTGCTTACAACTGTCTCACAGCAACATGAAAACAGTAGAATTTTGACAATTCTAAAATTATTTAAAAGTCGTAATGCTTCAAACATTGCAGGATATTTACTGATATACAATATGGTATCTGCATTTTCGTCCAGTAAGTATCATTGTTACTTGGAGATTGAACTTTTGCTTCGAGTATTCATTTTTTTACTTTACTGCAATTGTGAGTCAACGGATTATCGTGAAAGAACAGTACAGATGTGCAAAAGCTTGAAATACGATCATGTCGTAAAGTTACTATCGATTGAGAATGTTACAAAATGCCAGAGTGAAATATCTTCAACGGTTGCTCAAATCTTAGACACATTCACACTGGAGAGGAGCGAAGAAAATATAACCATTCCAAACCCAATGGACTCAATGTCACCAGAAATGGTAAACACCATAAGTAAATGTGTACAATTGCTTGGAGATAAAAGTTTCAGAGATATCTGTATTTAGCTTGTTTATTGAATGCCCTTTGAGAACTTAGGTACATGTACCTTTTTTTCTTTCATTTATCATCTGGCAATCTGAAAGTATCAAATTTGATAAAATATTGTACATTATCATTTTTAAATGAAAAATAATTTGTAAAAAAATGTAATGTGCAAAATTGTGTTATTGTTTATATATTTCGTTTTCAATTACATGTTTTATTTTTCACTACTGATAAAAGAATGGCTAGGTATCTTCTAAAGTCGTCATGTTTTCTTTTCTTTTATTTGATCAGTATGCATTGTTCAAAATAGTTCTAAAAAATGTTGTTGATTTGTGATCTCCAAAAGCCTTAACTATAAAGAAGTCGTTAACATAACTATACTAGAAAACTCTACGAAGAAACAAACCAACGATTTCAATACAATTGTTTTGCTTAATATTATATGAAATAAACTTAGACATATGTTGATCAATATTTAGAACAATGATTGAATAAAATTAGTTTGTTAAATATTTGATCAGTTAGCGACGTTTATTATCTTATTTTATCAATTGAATGAGTAATCATGACAGATATCAGCATAAAATGTGATTTGCGATGCATGGTTCCATGCATATTGCATTTGTTCATTTTGTATTTCATATAATTGCCTTTAAGAAAAGAGAATGTGTTTATTCAATACTTTTTGTCAATAAAAAAGCTTTTGGTATGATAAAAAATGATATTTTCTTTAAAAATCGCACTTTTAGCGTTCATCAAGTGTGCACTTTTTTCACACATGATGAAAACAATTGATAACTTTTTATTATATCACAAGTAACAGCTTTTCAAAAAGCTTGCCTGACTAACAATCATTATCTGTAAGAGAAGTGATACACCTTTTGAGGATATTTTTTTGAGTTTGAAATATGTCTTTTTATTGGAGAACCTTGTAAAAATATTTAATTATTTAATTTGTATAGAAGAACGATGCCATTGCTGCATTCTGAAGAGCTGTTAACAGAATGGTTAATGTATATGGGTTTTCTGCCAATCGCAACTCCTCGGTCCCACTCCTCGGGCCTTATCTAGGGAAGAAGTCCACAAATGTATTGTTAATCTATACGCCATGACCCGACCCCCCCCCCTTTTCACAAACTTTAAAAAAGCATGGATGATGTATATAGACTCATCTATATGGAATATGGAATATAGATTCATCTTTATTCATTGTAATGATATTATCTAAAATGTACTATAGAAGGGACTTCTTACCCCGTTTTTACTATGAACAGGAAATGTAGAAATTTTTAACATCCGATGATGTCGATACATTCAAGTTTGTTTTTCGACCTCTGACGAAAACATCCGAGATGATGCGATTGACAAGTAGATTGATCTACCCCTGGATCTAAATTTAAAGCTACACCTGAAATCTGTTGTCAAATCATCCATTGTGAACATTTTAGAGAATGGATATAACTAAATATATATGTTGTAGGAAAATGTTTTCTCCAATGAAGTAAACAGTAGTAGTTTGTGTTAATTGATCTTTTTTTCTGAAAGGGGTACAATAATATTTTTGAGAACGAAATAGGTAAAACCAACATCTAGGCCTTTGTGGAAAAGATATCAAAGATTTCGCACCAGTAATTTCTTTCGTCAAATTGTCTGGAATCTGGTTGAACTACGTCGATCGTTTGTGATGATTGGACTAGTCCATTAAAATTTGGAATAAACCAATTGCAACAGAGGGGAAACAAATTAGAGAAATTATTTCTTTTGTTTTGCATGTCCATATTCTGATATATTCGATTCATATGTTGTTTTAAGGAATAAGATAAAATTTGTAGACCGAATTTCTGAATCGTAAGAAGATAGAGGTTACAATAACAAACTGTATTTAATTCCATGGAAGTTAGCACCCCCATTCATACAATAGAAAAATCCAAGAAAAGGCGTGAAGATCGCTTACTCGTGACATTTGGCGCAAAAGAGCGATTCACCCCTTTCGTAGAATATAAATGGACTGATCCAGTAATATAGAAATGCAGAAAAAAAAGATACACTGACACGTTGAAACGGATAATCAGATGGAATAATATGTTTCATGCAAACAGAGTAAACAAAGTAAATACTGCATTATTTTGCATCAGTAAAATCATTGTTTCCCTGAAAAATGTACTTTTAAAATGCAGGTTAAAGATTTCCAATGTAAGATCAGCTTGTACAAAATCTAGCTCTCTGGGAATGATCTATTAGTTTCGGATCAAGCAATTATCAATCCTTATACAGCCTGACGCCGTGACGTCAGGCAATAAGTTGTTTACTTTATGAGAAGAAAGCTAACAGAATATTTTAGCAATATCAAGTTGTAACTACTTTGAATAAAAAAAAATTTATGTAAGTTGAGAAAGGCGTGTCCTTGACAAATAATATGATATTCCTTTATATTCATGAGAATACAAGGGTTCATCTAAAAGCTTGTGGCTTTTCAATCTCACACTCACGTACTAATTGTCATAGAAATTCTACAGAACACTCATTTGAAAGACGCTTATGTAAAAATTAAACAATAGTTTATTTTTCACTTTCAAAATGAAATGTTATGAATTTTAGTTTTAAAATATCAGTATCATCATACGGAAACCATATTCATTTGAATGGTTAAGTACTTCGTTTTTAAGTAAGCCTTTGGTAGCATTTAATTGCAATTTTCCTAACATTGAAATAATGTATTATTTTAAAATATCTTTAAATTTTCACCAATAAACCATACTATAGATATCGATTCCAATTGAAAGTAATAAGATCTGAATTCTAAAACGATAAAAACTTGATTTTATAAAAGAGAAAGTGAGTATTTATTTAATAATTTGTTTCTGTACAAAGTTCATTACTGAGTGAAGACCAGTTCCTAAACAGGGCCTTTACATTGATAACGACTCGAAATATCCAATCTTTAGGTATATTAAGGGTCCGTTTGCGAGAAAAAACATGCAATACGGCTAGATCATTACTATACATAGGAAAAATTTGATGAGTCTGCGATATATATGGAAATGATTTAAATTGAAAAAGAAATATTAAATTGAATATCAAACGCAAATGAAAAGTATCCCAATGGCGATATATATTTTTTCAAATTATTTAGAAACGGAAAGATTTAATATTATATTTTAATTACTAGTTTGTTTATTAATTAGGTCCCTCTCGAAAATTTTTCAATCAGGTGGAAATGACATCTCTTGCCTTTTGCAGGGCTGCAATTTTATATTTTTACTCCACAGCACCCAGGTCTAATAGCAGCGAGGGATCTGTTTCCTTCCAGCATGAACTGAGGAATGGGGCTTTGATTTATATGTCTCATCTGAAGGACCAGTCACCACGATCCGCAGTGGATTTAAACCTGCACTCTATCACCAAACCAATAGCTTACATGTACTTGCACGTTTAAGATCACTTGAGCTGAAAGCTCGGGTGAGCTTTTTTGATGACCTTTTGTCCGTTTTTCCCACCAGCTTTAACTTTTCATTTTTTCAAATTAATATTTGATTTCTTATTCAGTTGTTCAATTGTAATTTTTAACACCAACGTTCTACTTCAGTGCACCTTAGCTAGGCTTGTCAAGGCAAGAGATCACTTTTCTCTGATATTGATTTTTTTTCTCTTATCTCCTATTAGAAAATATATACATATTACATGTATATTGATAATATAAGCTTTGGTTATATTCATTATCAAACAAATTATACGTCATAGATCATGTCCCAACAATATCGTATTGATTCAGAAACCTTTATATGTTTATACATTACATTATTTGTTGATAAAGGGATGAGTTAAGACATAGGTGAATGGTTTTTTTACATTTATTTTAGAAAGACCAGTATATATGCGTATATGTTCTCTGTAAATAATTAAATTCCTCATACCTTAAAATTTTAACTATGTAAGGTATAAAAATTAAATTCCATAGATAAAAAAGTGACCCTACTAAGAATGATTTTGTCAATGTTTTTTTTTCGTTTTTGTTGTCAACAAACCCAAAATCTTTTCAAGCTAACATAGCAGACTTAAAATAATCTTTATTCAAATCAATAATAATTCTTAATAATATAATGTTGCAGAATGTCTCTATCTTCTACTACCTTCATTTATTTAAAAAAAAAACTTATGTTATACTGCTCTATTATTTTGAACCACAACAAAAATGGTTGTTTTTAAACTTCAACAAAAATATTTAACCTTTTAACTAAACTAGGTCAATGCCGTTATATAAACATACATGTACCTTTTTAATTATGATAATAAAAAAGAAAGCGTAATTTATATTAAAAAAAAAAAGAAGAAAAAAATGGGACATAGATATATAAAAACAAATCAGTGAAAAAACATTTTTTAAATATTTTATCAAAATGTCAAAATCATGCATCGTACAAATACTGTTAGTGCGCATGTGAAAACATAGCACTACGGAAGCCATTAAAGAAGTCTTGATTTAAAGTTTAAAAGCAATGACTTTATATGAGCAGCGCATTTGTGTGTAGAAAACTTAGCATTTCGTAAAATTTCATTGAAATGTTCAGGTAAGTATGTTCTGAAATATACCAAAAAGAGATAAAAATATTTAATATACATTTCTACTTTCGGTTTAATATCTTATTTTCCCTCTTTTTGTCATTGCTTGAAGAATATTACTTATAAACCTTTTATAGATATAATACAGTTTATTGTGTATGAAATAAACTTAATCAGGGAATATCCTACTACAAAATTTAAACGATATAGATAATGCATTATTTGACAAGAATATTTAAAACTTTAATTCTGTCTACTACTCTCAATCTATTCAATTTAATTGCTTACTCGCTTGTTTAATTTTCTACTGTGTTTTAAATAATAAAATGTTTGACTCTACTATACTTAGATGTTGCAAGAAGCACATAATAAAACATTATGTCTTTAAAATATTCTAGTGTTTTTTCTACAAAATCTTTATTACTCTACTGATGCAATTTTAATTTTTTTCCCAGGTATGATTTATAAATGTCAATTAAAAATTCTGATGTCTAGAAACTTTATCTATGAAATACAAAAATACGACTTGGTTTGAAACGTGTTATTACAAATTGAGTAATATATTGTAAATTTCTATTTTTTTTAGAATTTAGATTTAGGGGCAGATCACTCTCATTCTAACTGAAGAAAATTACATTAAAATCAGAACTCTTTAGTGTGCAGTGTAGAGAAAATTCTTAATTGCATATTTTTTATTCCTCTCTCGATTTTTTTCTCCTTTGTTTAAAATTCTTTATCTACAATAATGCGTGCAATAAAAATATTAATCAGAAATTGTTTTTATATTAATGTAACACAAACGCGTATTATTATTGCTTATACATGCTCCAAACCATGGTTTACAATTATTTGTGCAGAGGAGATTGTATGAATTTTATTAGACAAAAGACTGTAAAATATTTACTTATTAAGTCTTTTACTTATATAACATTAATTATTTTTATCATGCACAGGGAATGGTGAGAGCAAAGGAATTGATATGTGCATATCTTTCTATCAATGTAAAGTTCCTTTTACTCAGAAAGGTTTGTAATCATGCCACATTCAATAATGATTAAAGATTTTGTTTTAAATAAATCCACCCGGAAATAGAAAATGAGGAATTTCGACTTTCTCAAAGTATAAATGTGATGAAAATCAATAATTTGGTAAGTGTTTATTCACATATATGTAATATCTTGAATTAAATGTAACTGATCATAAATCTTCAGTTCCTGAATGGAATAAAATCTGCTTTAAACTGAATAACCATTTTTAATTCTAGCTTTAAAGAGTTCAAAATGATTTTAAAAACAATTAATTGTCAATTTGCATTTCAGTTTGTGTGAGATACAATAAAAAAAGATTCTTATGAATTATAATTGATTGTGCTCAATGGTAGGACCAAATATTGTATGAATAAAGAATGTATAAGGATACCTTTTACAATTGTTAAATTATGATATACCTTAAATTCATATATATTTTTAAAAATGCATGAATGGAATATGAATTTAAAATCTTTTTCAATAATGAAAATGAAAAATAATGAATTTTTTTAAGATTGATGCAGTCGACGATCGATATTGCTCTGTATCTCTGCAAACCCTGGAAGTTGTTAATGTTTGTCCTTCAAACAAAACCGAGATGGAACAAGCAAATTTGAGAAAAAAATGTGATTTGCTTGCAACACGTCAAAACTGTTCCCATCCAAGTAAATTCAAATATCATTGTGTCACAAATGGAGAAAGAACTGCTTTGGTTGAGGTATGCGCACCAGAAAGAAGAATAAATGGTAAGAAGACAAATCCAAAAAAGCACAATCTCAAATTTGAGACAAAGTGAACTTTCCTTAAATATGAAATGAAGTATTTTTGCCTAGGAAAGAAATAAACAAGATAATGTTGGCATTTGAACATTCATTTTTCACAATATTATTTAAATTCCTTACAATGTTTTAAAATAGTACACTTTGTACAGATACATTTCATGAAAAGTCAACTTAATTTTTTTTAAAGATCGGAAAATGAAATTTTAAGACGTGTACGTGAACTTAAACTTTGATCTTGTTTTATATCCTAAAAAATCAAGTACTTCCATGTAAAAGTATGTAATGTACATGCAAGGTAATTTGTACTTCATCATTCGAAATGTTAACACAAAAAATTAAAAATTCCTTCAAAACATGATGTTTAAAATCCTAAGTATTGTGTGCTACCATGCAAAAGTATGTAATGTACGGTAATTATTACTTCAAATATTGGAATGTCAACGTGAAGAGTAAAAAAGAATTCTTAAAAAAATGTTCAAATTTCTTTGAAAAACAGGATGCCCTAGTACGTCTAAAATTACTGCAAGAAATTGAATTTTGCAGGATTTTGTACAGAATTTAATGTACTGGGGGCTAGAATCCAAGGCCATTATACGACACAATGTACATCGTGTCCACAACATTATCAATCTACAGAGGCCTACAAATGTACGTATGATATTTTATTTCTTTCATAACTTTGATATATCTAATTTTATGCCCCTTTAAGGTACTTGGGCACAGATTTGAAGTCAATTTTTTTTCTATAATGTTACGACTTATATTTTAATATCATTTTACACACAAATTACTAAAAATCTTATTTTATAAGGAAGTTATTAATACTTGAAATTATTTTGGCGGATTTGATTGACACATCCTTGCGCTTTCACAAATTTTAACCTTATTCTTAATCCTTAGAAAAAGTGGTAATCTTGTGGTGTATTAATGAGAAAGATTAAAACCTATTATCCAGAAAATAGTTTTATTCCGAGTACAAATGTTAGAAAGCAAAACTCGCTCATGAGTATCGTCATTCCTAACTAAGGGTTGCTTGCAGAGTTTAGCAAATCGAGCACACTCGTGTTATGTATACAGTTTTTGTAAACAGGGCTCGAGTTCTGTTATTGTTTTTATTTAGAATTCACCGGGTGCTTTCAATCGTCACCTTCTGCTTACCACAACTGCGCGGACTGACAATATATTGTGTGTTTATTTTGCTTTCGAACATGTATACTCTGAATTTTCTGGATTATAGTATTGATATTTTTAATTTATACACAAAGAAATTACCACTTTTCCTAAGGAATAAGAATAAAATTAATTTGTGAAAGTGTAAAGATGTGTCATTCAAACCCGCCAAAAAATTAAATTTTAATATCTTTTATATGAAATAAGATTTTTAATTAATTTTTGTGTGAAAAGCTTTCAAAAGATATAAGTCGTAATATTATAGAGAAAATAATAACTTCAAATCTGTGTCCAGGTACCTTTCAAAACAGAAAAGAAAATGATATCCTTATGTACGATATGTAAGGATATGTTTGATATCAACACATTTATTCCAAACTTACCTAAAAAAAAATTACCGATTTAATAGCGTCACATTTGCAGATTTTTTCTTCCTTCATCACACATAATTTTATGATTCACATTTATTCAAATCATGACACACGGGAGTAGAGTGGAACTGCAATAAACAGTCAAATTTTTACATGAGTATATATATGGGAAAATCTTTTAAAAATCTTCTTCTCAAGAACATCAAAGCTATGATTGGTGATGATTATATATAAAAATTCTCAGGTGATGTAAATTCATGTTTTTCAAAGCATAACCCCCGGGGCAGGGTAGGGCCAGAAGGGTCGGTCAAAATATTTTACAAAGAAATCCATAGGAAAAATCTTCAAAAAATCTTTTTCTCAAGAACAGCAAATCTTTCTTTATATGCTAATATCCTCAGATGGTGTTGATTCAAGATTGTTCAAATCATTATCACCGAGGGAAGGGTAGGACAAGAAGGACCGTTCAATTTTTTTTTATAGGAATATATAGAAAAAATCTTCAAAAATCGTTTTCTCAAGATCAGCAAAGCTAAATTTTTTTTTATAATGAAGCATCCTCAGTTGGTATATTTCAAGGTTGTTCAAATCATTATTCCCAGGGACAGAAGGTAGGGCCACAAGGGTTGATCAAATTTTTACAATAGAATAATAAAAAACTTTTAAAATTTTCTTCTCAAGAACAGCAAGCTATCTAACCTCAAATATGTATTTTTCTCTAATTGAAGATAAGTTGGTGAAAAGAATATTTTGTATGGTTGATTGCTCTGAAAATATAAAATACAGATGTTGGATCGAGGGTTCATCTAGAAAAATTCGATTGAATTATGAATTTCTAGTGCACCAGCACAAAGCAATGTTTATTATCTATTATTTTATATTTATTCCTTTCCCGTTATTGTTTTAGATACCGATTGCTTTCATAATATTTCCTCCAACTTAGAGAAAACATCAACTGTATCGTCGAATACTTATTTCAGAACAGAAGCAAATAGCGATTCAGTGTAAGTAAATAACAATGCAGTTATTACACAATGAAAAGACATAATCCTTTCTCAAATTCACTTAAAAAAATATAATATTTTGTTCTCAAGTTTAAAATCTATGAGGTAAAAGAAATTCAACAGCACACTTTTTTCCAACTTGGTTTAAAACACACCCTTATCAGCCCCTATCAGAATACCGTATAAGTGGAAATTTTAGCGAGACGCAAATTTAGCGATTTGTCTTTAAAATCTGGTAATTTATTTTTAGCGAGATTTTAATTTAGCGATTTCAAAATGCACATTAAAGTAGCTATTAGAAATAATTTTTAGCGAGATTTAATTTTAGCGATCTCGACAACCTCGCTAATAATGCCAAAATTAAATCCTCGCTAAAAATTCTACTTATACGGTATTGTAAAATCTGAATTCAACCAAGAATGTTCATTAGTTATTAATAAACAATTTCTGTCAATATACATGTATTATAAATACATGATGCTACTTATAAAATTACTCTTTTGTAACTAACATTTAGTACAAGATATTGATTACCAAATCAGTAATCTGTAATGTAAAATTAACCACACATAGTTTTGGATTGCAAATCAAATTGTACTTATGCTACTTCTAAAATCTCTTTAAAAAATCGAAAAAGTTCATAATTATTTGTTATAAAAATAGTGTAATGGTAATAAATATAGTAATAGAAAAAAGTTCAATATTTGTCAAAAGGAAGAAAATTGAACTATGCCCCGTTATCGAAGATTCGGTGGCATATAGTTTTTGTCGTGTCCGTCCGTCTGTCTGTTTGTCTATAATAATTATGTCTGTCTGTTTGTATGTTTGTCCGCAAAAACTTAAATCTTGCCTGTAACTTTTGATTACGTGGAGCTATGATTTTTATTTTTCACATGTGTATTCATTGTGACAAGACCTTTGCTTTGGCTACCACCAAATTTGACCTTTTGACCTTTACCTTGGGGTTTGGCATTCTTTTATCCAAAAAAATTTACTTTAGTCATATCTTTTGAACTGTTACATTTTGCACCAGAGCTTTCAAACTATACATATGTGTTTTTGCGACAAGACCTTTCATTGGACGCAACAGATGTTACATTTTGTTCTTGGAGATTTACGTACTTTAAAGAAACCTTCAACCTTGGCCTTTGAAAAGGACTAGAGCTTTCATATTTCACATATGTTATCCTTGTGAGAAGGTCTTTCATTTGATGCCAAGAACTTTGATCATTTGACTTTGACCTTGGAGTTTGACCGAATTAAAAAAAAACTGAGACCATAACTCTTTAAAGCTTAGGGATAGGACTTTATTACTTAACATTTTCAATCCATGTGAAATTTTTTTTGATTAGATAAAAAAAAACTTTGACCTTGATGTTTGACCTTTAAGATTGTCAATAACTTCTAAACAGTTAGAGCCTAGGGCTTTCATTTTACACATGTAATCCTTGTGATAAGAACTTTCATTAGAAACCAAAAATTTTGACCATTTTGTCCTTGACCCTGGATTTTGATTTCCATTGGACATAACTTTTGAACAGGTGGTGCTACATGTAGGGCTTTTATATTTCAAATTTTATTTCTGTTGAAAAAATCTTTCTTTGTGAACCAACAAATTTTTTTAATTTGCATTTAGGAGGGTGAAGGAAGGAAAAATTAAATCTTTGCTACGTTGCCATACAGCTGCATCAGTGTTTCATAAACACATCTTCTTTCTAATAAAAAAATAATCTATAGATTCCATACTTTTCACCTTTGATCTTTTATGACTTTGAACTTTTACGAACACATAAAATATCTTCTATCAATTCTGTATTTGGAGAAAAACATTTTGTATTTGATTACATTTTAAATCAGACGTTCATTTCAAAAGAATACAACATTATTAAGATAAACTCCCAAAGGACCGTCATATTTAATTTTTCTAATATTTAAAAAAAATTCAAATACGTAAATAAGCTTTTATTTCTATTTTCCTAGTGAGTTTTTTTTAATGACAAAAAAATCATTTAAAAGTGATTTCAGACTGTTTTATACTAAATTTAAAAGGAAATTTTGATGACATGTGGTATTGATTTTCAAAATAAGAGGAATATCATGACCCCCAGTGGTAGGGTGGGGCCACAATGCCCGATCGACGTTTTACGTAGAAATATATGGGAAAGTTCTTTTAAAATCTTCTCAAGAACCACTGTGTCAGGAAAAATTAAACTTATACGGAAGCATCCTCAGGTAGTGTAGATTTAAGTATATTCAAATCATGACCCCCGCACAAGATGAAATTCTCCCATTAAGCTTGACTTAATGGCAGCTTATAGGTGCTTAATGGTGGCTTAAAGGCCGCCTTTAAACAACCATTAAGCCACCATTAAGCACCTATAAGCCACCAGTGAGCTTCCATTAAGTAACCATTAAGCCTCCATTAAGCCAAATTTCTAACTTAATGGTAGCTTAATGGTGGCTTAATGGTTACTTAATGGTGGCTTAAAGGTTCTTAATGGTTACTTTTAGACCACCATTAAGTCACCATTAAGCCACCATTAAGGTAGACTTACAGGTGCTTAATGTCCAAACTCCATTAAGCTACCATTAAGCCACCATTAAGTCACAGTACGCAGTCGATTATATTGTTTATATGGGTGAAAAATTATTTTTATAGTGATTTGTTATCATTATTATAAATGTAGAGTTCGTTTTATCTTGATTTGGTAAAAATAATGAAAAAAAAACGAAATTCAAAATCCAAAAAAAATCCACCGCAGTGGGGGCGCGAACCCATGACCGTAGGTTTCGAAGCCAAACGCCTAATCCATTACGCTATCGCCGCTCCTTATTAATTATGGAAAATATTAAATATTTAACCTTTATTTTTTTTCAAAATTTGTTTGGATTTGTTAAGGTTTTTACTAGAATTTTGTTGAACATTTCCAAACGTCTTGAATTGGTTTATTAATCAAAATATAAACAATTTTATTTTTGGATCTTAACACATTAATATATATATATTTCTACACAGAGTTTGGATTTTAGTTTGATGTAGTGTGATTGAGTTCTTCGCTCTGTTAGTGTTATTCGAAAATTGTCGAAATGTAAGCATTAAATCATGATTGAAGATAAATTAATTCATAGATAAAACACAAAAGTCTATCATCGAAAAAGAAAGAGGAAAAAACAGATTCTACTATTATTTTTAATATACTGCGGATATTAACGGTTTCTGTGTCAACAATTTAGTGACAATCCTCGCGTAGGAGTTACCTGGTTAATTACGTTTACAAAAACTTTTTTTAGAATATCACATTCAGTTTCAATTCTTTTTGTATCACAATGGGTATCAAAATAATTGACTTTTTACGATGAATCAGAATTTTTGATTTGTTATATGCTTGCGTTAAATATAATTTTTTTTTTCAAATAATTGATCATTAAAATCTGTCAGTGTACGTTGTGTATGTATAGTTTCCTGTTAGTTAACCGGGGACGGGGGACACCTAATTAAGGTCTATTGTCTGACCAGCCGGTTTACTGTACACGGATTATCTGTTAATCCTACCCCTGTTTCTTAATGTGTATACATCTGGGCGGATGTCATGTTTAATCTCAGACTGATCAGCCGTTCCTCTGAAAATCGATTTTGAAATAACAATTATTGAAGACCGACTAGATTTTGACAGATACTTACCGCTGCATTTTTAAAAAAAATAATGAATTAATTAAAATTATTCATGATGTAAAAGCCATTAAAAAGTTTTTCATGGTAAAAGTCAATTTTTGAAAACTAAACATTTGTATACCAGTAGCCCCCCCCCCCCCCAAAAAAAAAAGGACAAAGGTTTTTTTCATGAGATCATATAGTTAAATTCCTGTGAATTCTGTAGCGGAATGTTTCTTTTGACATATGAAATAAAATGACCATTTTAATAAAGTAATATAAATTTTGTGTTCGGAATATAGATCATATAATTCTAAAAACAAATTGATTTTTGGTATTGTACATTTAAGATATTTCACAAGAATTGCTCACGGTGTGTAATAATTATTAATTTTTAAAAATCATATACACTAAAAATAAAAACAACGCATGTAATAATGGTTAATTTAAAAAATAAAAATAATATAAAGTTCTGATACATGATGTCTTGTTTTATTATCACTGTAAATGATTTTAAGAAAACATTAGACAGCTCGAGCAAGCCCCTAGCTGTAGCTATTAGCTTACTTCGTTCCCTGTGATCAAGTTTATGCATGTTGCCAAAAAACTCGTAGAAATTATTATCGAGACAGAATTATGAGATGGAATAGATTTTGCGTAAATGATATTAAAATAACTAAAAGCTAATTCAAAGATTCTATATTAGATGCGTAAAAGTTAAATGAGGGTTGACCATTAAGTCACCATTAAGCTCAGCTTAATGGTGGCTTAATGGTAGCTTAATGAAGTTTGGACTATAAGCACCTGTAAGTCTAGCTTAATGGTGACTTAATGGTGGCTTAAAGGAATTAACTTCTTTAAGCCACCATTAAGTCACCATTAAGCTACCATTAAGCGATTGCTTAAAGGTTGTCTTTCGTCTTGTGCCGGGGGTAGGGCGGGGCCACAATGGCCGATAAAATTTCACAAAAAAATATATATAGATAATTCTTTAAAAATCTTCTTTTCAAGAACCACTTATAGGGAAGCATTCTCAAGTACACTTGTAGTTCAGATTCAAGTTTGTTCCAATCATGACCCCTAGGGGTAGGGTGGGTCCACAACGGCCGAACAAAGTTTTACAAAGAAATATAAAGGAAAATTACAAAAACATTCCAAAAAAAACTCTTTGACTGGAATGATAATATTTTTATGGAAGCATCTTCAGGTAGTGTAGATTCAATTTTATTCAAATCATGACCCCCAGGAGTAGGGCGGGGCCACAATGGCCGATCAAAGTTTCACATAGAAATATATAGGAAAATTATTTACAATCTTCTTCTCTGGAATAGCAAAGGCATGAATGATCATATTTTTATGGAAGCATCCTCTGGTAGTGGACATTCAAGTTTGTTCAAATTATGACCCCTTGAGATAGGGCGGATCCACAACATGAAATCCAATTTTTACATAGAAACATCTAGAAAAATCTTTGAAAATCTTTTAAAAAATAGCAAAGCTATGATTAGTCCTATTCAGATGGAAGTATTCTCAGGTAGTCAAAGAAATATGCAAGCATTTTTAGCTGGTGTGGATTCAAGTTTGTTCAAAACGTACCCTCTCCTTTTGAAGGATTGTTAAGGACAACTACTGGGTTTCAAATTCTCAATAATAAACTGATTTATGCTTTTTTCTTGGCCACATTCCTCAGGTGACCGATGTGGCCCATGGGCCTCTTGTATTAGTTAACAGCCTGTACTTAGCCGAAACCCTTTTTTTATTCATGTTTTGTACATTATTGGCCCCCGCTTTTGCGAAAGCGAAGGGACATTTAAATCATTCGTAAGTCACTCAGTCCGTCCGTCAGGCTGTTTGTCGGTCTGTCAGTCCGTCACAAAAACTTTAACCTTGCTTATAACTTTTGATTAAGTGGAACTATGATTTTCATATTTCAAATGCGTATTCCTGGTAACAAAACCTTTCTTTGGGTACCATCAAATTGACCTTTTGACCTTGACCTTGGAGTTGACCCACTTTTACTCAAAAATTTGAAACTTTTACATTGGCCATATCTTTTGAATAGTAGATACAAGGAATTTCATATTTCAAATATATATTTTTGTTACAAGACCTTTCATTGGATACGAAAAACTTTAACCTTTTGACATTGGAGATTTACTTACTTAAAAAACTTTAACCATGACCATAATTTTTGAATGGTAAGGGCTAGGACTTTTAGACTTCACATATTTAATTTCTGTGAGAAGACCTTTCATATGATACCAAGAACTTTGACCTTTTTACCTTGATCTTGGAGTATTAACTACTTTTTAAAAACATTAATCTTGTTCACAACTTTTGAACGGTACATACTAGGACTTTCATATTTCACACATGTGTTTTATGTGATAAGACCTTTCATTATATAGCAAAAACGTTGACTTTTTGATCTTGACCCTTGAAATTTTCGTACCTATATAAAAACTTAAATCTTGACCATAATTTTTGAACGGTAAGAGCTAGGGTTTTCATACTTCACATATGTTAATATTGTGAGATGACCTTTCACTGCATACCAAGAATTTAGACCCTTTCACCCTGACCTTGTAGTTTTAACTACTTTTTAAATAGCTTTAACCTTGATCAAACTCTTGAACGGTAGATACCAGGACTTTCAAATTTCAAATGTGTATTTTTTGTAGCAAGACTTTTCAAAGGATACCAGTAACCTTTTGACCTTGACCTGTGAGATTTACGTACTAATGAAAAAAACTTTAACCTTTTCCATAAGTTTTGAATTTCAAGGGCTAGGGACTTACTAGAATAATCCACCAATAAAGTTTAATTCCATAACTAACTTGCATATTTGACAATTTATCTATTTCTCTTAATCAAAACATCTATTTTTGTTGCTAGGTAACCGATTGTAAAAAACACACGTTTTTGAATTTAAATTCCAAAAAGGATATTCCTCTGCCTTTATGTAAAATATACCATAATCTTGTATTGAGCCAGAAGTTTGAGATATGGTCTTAAAAGTGCCCGAAGTATCAAATATGCTGAATCAGCAAAAAATGCAAAATATGCATATCTTCCGTTGTCTGTAAAAGAAATATCCTAAAATAAAAATTATATGTATTACATGGTTTTATCACTTGAAATGTTTATCTTTATGATAACATTATTTAAGAACCCCTCAGGTAATATTCACATTCAATTTTAAGCCTCTGAGTTAAGTGATATATTTGTCCATCCACATGGAAAATTGACCGGTTGCTAGGGAAAATTTATTTGGCCATGTTTCCATAGTAACCTGGACCAAAAATAATTTTCAATTTACATACGTGGTTTATAGGGTAAGAGAAACCTATGTGTGTAAAATCATCGAATTCTGAGAACCTTCATGATTCACTTTTATACACATATTGGCCGATTCTTACAGAGACCCGTACTTAACGTATAAGTGCGTTAAGAATTAATTTTTCACTTTTTTTCCTTGCAATGTTTGTTTGCGTTATTTATTTTTGCAACGTAATTTAATATCATTTGACGTCACAAACGGCTAGCTCTTACATCTATTATCCACGGCAGATTTGAAAGGCTCTAAATTCACATTTAAAAAGTTTAACGAAATAAGCAATTATGAAAAAGGAAAATAAGAGAATGTGTTAGCCGGGTATAATAATTTGTAGGCACGGCCAGGTGTGTTAAAGGACCGAAGAAATCGAAAATATGAATTCAATGCTTAGATGAAATCCCTAATTTTTGTTGTTTTGAGATGTGGAGAGACCCACGAATTCACAATCACCACGAAATGTAAAATCTAATATAATTATTACTCAACACTTCTCCATTCACGAAATCAAATCCCCAGATAACAATGTTTCTTTCTCAAACCTCGAGCATTTGCCCCCACGAAAATATGTAAAGAAATATGTGATTTTACAGCAGTATTAACATAACTTTCAACACACACATTCAACCCTTCTCTTTTCTAATTTCAAAGTTTTATTTAAAGTGTATATAGGAATATCTTAATTAGATAGACTTTTCAAAATCAAAATGAATTCGTCTGTACGAAATCTATTTAAAAGTAACATCTATTTAGGTAGGATTCTTCTCTGGTTTCTGACTAGATCAAATAATCAAAGTATATTTGCTTATATGTCTCATATATTGAGGTGTAAGGAATTTAAAAGACCATATTTTTCTTTCCTCTTCACAATTGTACAACTTTAAATAGAAATGGTAAAACTGTGTTTAAAAACAAGCAGGGACTATATTTTTGGGCGGAATGTTGGCATATGAAAATATCTTCTTTTCTGCTTCTCAAGATTATAATAGAACAACAAATTTAGTTATAATTTTTACACAACAAAAGTCTTGGAGAATTTTTCAAATGTAAGTTAGATAAATAAAGAGGGACTAAACTTTCAAAATATATAAAAAAAAAATATGATTTTTCAAACAAACTATATAAGCTTTTAAACGCTTCCATTCAAAGTGCAGATTTGCGTCAAAAATCCATAAAAAATATTTTTCTCTCTAAATAAAAGAACAAATATTTTTTTGAATCATTTTGTACATGTATAAGACTTCTTTATTATATGTGAAAATAAGAAAAAGTTAAATATAGGAAGCATATAAAAAATTACTAATAATATGTAATATATCATGAAAAATTAAGAAAAACAGAGAAAATTCGGATAAGACAATATCCAGTTAAGTTAAAATAATTATGTAAATTTGGTAATATCATGCTATAGACCCGATATAGTTATATGTTTTTATGCAAAAAGAAAAATCATTTAACTTTTGAAATAAAAGTAGGTATCATATGATTGGCAACAGTTATTTTTTATTCTTAATGTCAAAAAAAAGATAATGAATTTGACCTGACCTTGCCTCTAATATAAAACAGTCAAATTTAATTTCACTGATACTATCACTTAGTGATATTGTCTTCTATGAAAATTTCATTAATTTTCAAATATTAGAAATATGAGAAGAATCCTATCTTAACATATGCTAAAATATGTTTTGTTTTTCAGACATTTAAAGGACCTTCTCATTTGCATAGCAGTATTTGTTATTTTGAGTTTTCTACTGCTAGTCTTGAGTGTTCCAGCTATTTTTCTTCTGTGTTGCAAAAGTAAAAAAGGTGAGATTTTTCATAGTCATGTCAGTTTTGAATATTTTTAAAGCAATATGAGCTACATTTTTCAGAATTTTATTTTGCCGTTAAATTGCGTTATTATGATAAATTTGTTTGCAAATTAAACCTTTGATGAACTAGACTACAATAATGTGTGATATGGTTTCAGAAAAAAAATAATTCTGTACAATCGAATATGTAGTATTATATACGAAATCAATATTGTACAGGATGAAAAAAATAATTATGCTAAAATCATAGCTTATAAAAAGTTCTTCCATCGAAAATATGAACATTAGAAGTTTATAAATGTTAGTTTTCCCTCTCACTGGTATAGTTCACTACAATTTTGCAACAAAAATTTTTTACACTTTAGTTGCAGCTTATATTGCTTTTTCAATTTTATCAACAATATATTCAAAACGTGGTGCAAATCAGACTTAAATCCTTATAAATTCCAAGGAATCTTTGGATAGTTTGAAAACACAAGGTATTACCAAAATCAACAGCTTAAAAAATACGACTTTTCAACTTTATACACAACCATTCTCAAGGATAAATGATTGTGCTTTTTGAAATCAGTGACATCTGCTTTTCCAATAGAAACGGAACTCGCAAATTTAGTTACCTATCCAATGGACATTTGCAAAATTATTTTGTTAAAAATCACTCTGATTGTACACACAGGTACTCCGAAGTTGACATTCAAAAGATGCTTGAGTTTCTGGTTGATTTATATGTGACTTTTGAAGACCCAGTCTTTCATTAATCTATTAGAATTGCGCCCCATTATAAGCAGACCAATTTTTGTATTCATGTACTGTAGAATTTGTTAAAAATCTTATGCGTGAAAAGAAGAAGACACTTGCTGTGGCCTTCAACTTGACATTAAGATATATCGACGACGTATTCATCACCCACATACAAAATTAATAAGCTGTATATCTCATTTGATTCGATATGCAAGAGCATGCTCTACGTATGAACAATTTCTGAAACGAAGTAAATTATTGACAAACAGGCTGATGAAACATGAATATCAGTAGTCTTGCTTAAAGTCATCATTTAGTAAGTTTCGGTGTCGATACAATGACCTTGTCAGCAATTAATGAAGTTAGAGTGACGAAGTAAAATAAAGCGGAGTCCTATGAAAAAAAAGAACTGTGAAAAACATTTAAACATAGGAATAAAAAAATACCACATGACTTGTGAATTGGTAAGAATTTTATCAAACTCGTTGTGCTTTTAACACCCCCCCCCCCCCCCCGGTCAATTTAAGGCAGGAGGATAAATAGAAAAAAACTTATAAAAATCATATCCAACTACATTCCATGGGAAATCATTCGTTTGTCTGATTTTGTTATATCTTTCATATCAAGCCTTTGCTTAAAGGACACATAATGCAAACAAAAAAACAAAGATTCATAGATTAAATTTTTAACTGATTTTGAATCGAAAAGACATAGCGGTAGATAATAAATCCTTAAGATAATTAATCCTTAAGTTTTTCTGTGGTTTTTATAAATGAGACTGTCTGGTATTTATTATCCTTCTATACAAGATTTTGCACATATTTTTAACGTGAAAAAAAATTATTAAAAATATTCCTACTTTACCTCGTAAACACTTCACATGTTACATGATTTGAGAAATGCTGTTAAATGATGAAAAATTTCTTTATGTTATTTTAAAGTTTACTTTTTAAGGAATCCTTTTTAGCTCACCTGAGCCGAAGGCTCAAGTGAGCTTTTCTGATCAAAGGAGTATATATGATAAGAGCCAATTTTGGCCCCCTAAAAATCAATATTTTAGAATGACATTCAGATATGTTAAATTGATATTTATTTTGTAGAAGAGATAATATTAGAAATATTTCCAATATATTTTTCACATTCATATGCACTCACTAGCTATAATGACATGAGAAATAATGCTATTTTTGCTATCTAACAAAAAAAGGCATAAATATGCCTTTTTCGTGATGTTTTTTCTTATGGGAAACATCGAGCGCAGTGTAGAACATACACAATTTTTCTGTCACTAATTAGTATTGGATAGATACATCTTTGGTTGAAATATAAATCTTGTTCTAGGCTGCGCTCTATATTTTCTGTAAGAAAAACTGCTTGAAAATAAGCAGTTTTATACAAAATATGCTAAAATGGCGGGAAAACGTTAACTTTATGATGTCATGTTTCTAAAATAACGGCATTTTGATCAAAATGAAAATGACCAATAAAGGTCGCATATATAGCTGTACAAATTAAAGCTATATATACAGTAAAATTAAGATATCCATTTTAAGGGGCCAATTGAGACACTTACTATATATCGCTCTTTGTCCGTTGTCCCACGTCGTCGTTGTCGTCGTCGTTGTCGTCATCGTCGTTGTTGCAAACTTTTCACAATTTCATCTTTTCTCAAGAACCACTGGGCCAATTTCAACCAAACTTAATACAAAGTTTCTTTGGGTAAGGGGAATTCAAATTTATTCAAAAAAGGGTCATGCTCTTTTCCAAAGAGAGACAATTATGAATTAGAGAAAAATTAATGGCATTTTAAAAAAAATCGTCGTCTCAAGAACCATTGAGCCAGGAAAGTTGAAACTCATGTGGAATTATCCTCGGGTATTGTAGATTCAGTTTTGTTCAAATCATGACTACCGGGGGTAGGGTGGGGCCATAATAGCCTATCAAAGTTTTACATAGGAATATAGAGGAAAAATCCTTTAAAAATCTTCTTCTCAAGAACCACTGAGCCAGGAAAGATGAAACTGATGTGGAATCATTCTCATTCTAGTGTAGATTTTATTTTGTTCAATTCATGACCCCCGAGGGTAGGGTGGTGCAAAAATGACCAATCAAACTTTTACATAGGAATATATAGGAAAATCCTCTTTTCAAGTACTTCAAATCCATGCTTTGTGATATTTGTTTGGAATCATCCTCAGGTAATGTAGATTTTAGTTTGTTCAAATCATGACTCCCTGAAAGGGTTAAAATTCACTCCCTCCCCCAAACTCAGTAAACTTTCAGTTAAGATCTCCTTTTTCCTAGCCAATTGCTTGGGTGAGCGATGTGGCCCCTGAGCCTCTTGTAATGACTTATCTCTCCTACTTCATTATCTTATCGAATTATTAACAAAATATGTAGGTCGATACCTTATAAAAATGTTAGGAAGATATATCTTGAAAAATACGCTAAATAGTTATGCTTGAAAGCAAAATACTGATATATTTGAAATATTTTTTTTCAGCTCAAAGATCGGATGCAGACATTCCTCTGCGGTCTTAACAATATACATATATGATAGTTAAAGGAAAAAATAATGCACCGTAAAAAAGATGTGAGTCATGTTTGAAAGATGTAGTGATCAAGATTGGTTGTACGTATAACCAGTGCTGCGGACTATTAACAATAATGGCAGAAAACTATTTTGAATCAATTTGAATTTATATGAATTTGTTTTAATATCATATAATTCTAAACAATGTATTTAATGACCCTATTTTCAGAAGATTCCTATCTATCGTTGAGCTACTTTGTACCTGTATATGTGCTTATTATAATTTGCATATCATATGTAAGCTATTGACTCATTATTGTTACCTCAATGTGTCAAATGTTAATTAAGTGAAGATCACAACTTATTTTTAGAAATCAAAGGGATCCAATATAATACCCAAAATACGATTTTATTATCTACTCTTTTATATGAATTGGAAACAAAAATATTCCTTTGAGCTCTCAGTATTGGATTATGACATGCTCTTGTAAAGGACATAAATAAAATAATTTCCCTTTGCAATATATGACACAATGATTTTGTTTTAACGCCTCCGTTTTTATACTTTTTATTCATCTCCATTTCCTGACAAGTTTCCTCATGTCAATCTCAATAAATTAATTGATAAATTATTTAATTATAAAAATTTGTATATATAAATAACAGTAAATGAGATAAGGCTACCGACAAAGCCTTTTTAAGGTCATACGCAAGGTATTTTTAGACTTTCCCAGGAGTTGAAGAGTTCCAATGCTAAGGTATTGCGTGCTACTCCCTAATGTCTAAACATGCTATTATGCACTAATTCTAAAACAAATTATGATTAACAAAACATCTAGAATATATGTTTAATAATGTTTGTATATTTTTTTCCGACTTGTACAAAAGTCCCTGTTTTTTGTCTACGAACATCTGATGGCACTTCAAACTTAAATTAAAAATACCTTGATAAGTTATCAGTAGATAAGGTACGTTGCGTATGACCTTAAGCCCTCTATATACAAAATCAACAATTTTTCTAAAAAAATAGAATTAAAAATTTTGGTACCAGGTACCAGGAGAAAAAAATCACAATGTTTTTTCTTTGTGAGACCCGAAATGAGTGTCATATCGAAAAGTGAATAGTGTACAATTGCATCATGTAAAAAAAATCTGTGATTTCAAGTATCTTTAAATTTCATTCAAGAATAGTTGCAAACAAGAGATGGGTTCAAAATATTGTCGCTATTTCCATTGTGCACCTTAACTGTACTGTGTTTCTCTAAAACATGTAAAATGTTACAATATTCGATTTGATTGGTCTTTTCCATTTGTGTTGTATTTTTTTTTAAATATTGTTTGAATTTTCAATTATTTTTTATTTTATTATTTTATTTATGTTTCGTAGAAATTCTATTTTTTATATTTTGAGAGAATTTTATTTGAATAGTATAAATTTTCATCAAGATTTTATCAGGTTTGCAGCACTTTTTAGGCTCAAGTGAGCTTTTCTGATCACATTTTGTCCGTTTGTCGGTCTTTCCATCCGTCCGTCCGTAAACTTTTCACATTTCGACTTCTTCTCAAGAACCAATGGGCCAATTTTAATTAAACTTGGTACAAAGCATCCTTTGGTGAAGGGAAGTTGAAATTGTTAAAATGAAGGGCCAAGTTTCCTAACAAGGGGAGATAATCAAGAAAAGACAAAAATAGGGTAGGGCTATTAAAAAATCTTCTCCTCAAGAATCACTGGGTCAGGAAATCTGAAACTTGTATGGAAACATCCTTGGGTAGTGAAGATATTAAATTGTAAAAATCATGACCCCCAGGAGTAGAGCAGGACCACAATAGGAAATCCAAGTTTTACGTAGAACAAATCTTTAGAAAATCTTCTTCCCAAAAACCACTAGGCCAGGAAAGCTGAAACTTATGTGGAAGCATCCTGGGGTAGAGTAGATATTAAATTATTAAAATCATGACCCCCGGGGGGTAGGGCGGGGCCACAAAAGGGAATTTAAGTTTTACATAAAAAAATTATAGAACAAATCTTAAAGAATCCTCTTCTCAAAAACTACTGGGCCAGGAAAGCTGAAACTTACATGGAAGCATCCGTGGATTGTGTAGATATTAAATTGTTAAAATCATGACCCCAGGGGTAGGGCGGGGCCATAATTGGGAATATAGATTTAACATAGAAATATATAGAACAAATCTTTTTTAAAAAACTTCCTTTCAAGAACCACTTGGCCAGGAAAGCTGACCCTTTTTTGAAGCATCCTAGCGTAGAGTAGATATTTAATTCTTAAAATTATGACTCCCAGGGGAAAGGCAGATCCACAATAGGGAATCCAAGTTTAACGTAGATATATTTAGGGAAAATCTATAAAGAATTTTTTCTCAAAAACCACTGGGCCAGGAAAATTAAAATTTATGTGGAAGCATCCTTGGGTAGTGTAGTTATTAAACTGTTTAAATCATGACCCCCAGAGGTAGGACGGGGCTTCAATAGGGAATCCAAGTTTTACGTAGATATATTTAGGAAAAATCTATTAGGAATCTTCTTCTCAAAAACTACTGGGACAGGAAAGCTGAAACTTATATGGAAGCATCCGTGGATTGTGTAGATATGAAATTGTTGAAATCATGACCCCCAAGGGTAGGGCGGGGCCAAAATAGGGAACATAAGTTTAACATAGAAATATATAAAACAAATCTTAAAAAAAATTCCTTTCAAGAACTACTTGGCCAGGAAAGCTGAAACTTATATGGAAGCATCCTAGGGTAGAGTAGATATTTAATTCTTAAAATTATGACTCCCAGGGGAAAGGCAGAACCACAATAGGGAATCCAAATTTAACATAGATATATCAAGGGAAAATCTATGAAGATTTTTTTCTCAAAATCCACTGGGCCAGGAAAATTGAAACTTATGTGGAAGCATCCTTGGGTAGTGTAGTTATTAAACTGTTAAAATCATGATCCCTGGGGTAGAGCGGCGCTTCAATATGGAATCTAAGTTTAACGTAGATATATTTAGAAAAAATCTATAAAGAATCTTCTTCTCAAAAAACCACTGGGCCAGGAAAGCTGAAACTTACGGAAAGCATCCTGGGGTAGTGTAGTTTCTAAAGTTTTAGAATCACGAAAGTTTGGGGGGTAGGGGGCATGATAGGCATTGCAAGAGGGGAAATCTGGTTCAGAACTTCATCACTCAAATTACTGAGGTGAGCGATGTGGCCTATGGGCCTCTTGTTTAAAATACCTTTTTCCTTCTTAAATTTATGTTTAAAAACTTGGCATAATGCATTGAGGGTATAATCTTGCAATAAATATACAATTTTATAGGACCCTTCTATTACTTTCAATAAATTTGCATATGCATACAAATATACAACAGTGTCACTTGTTTAGAGAATTATATTGACAGTATATGTAAAGCATAGTACATTTTAATTATCGACGACGATGATATTGAAACGGAAATTGGTTTTGTGATTTAGTTTCGTTTTAACGTAAGACCTACGTTTTTATATAAATTCTTAAACACTAAAAATATTAATTCTCAGATCATACAAGTAGAATGAAACTGCCTATGTACTGGGCTGCACTGAGGTAATACATGTTGTGTAACGGGAACTCAGGGGACCTCTCTGGTGACGGAGTGGATAAACATTAGTTTGTTTCTTCTCTTGCATTCGGTCGTAAGACCTGAATAGGGCAGACAGATGCAGGGGATGAACGGCTAAGTGTTTCACAGTACACCAATGCACTAAAGACCTGAATAAGGCAGTCACTTGGTTGAAGCGAGAGAGGTGGCATACCACAATTAGCAGTGGGGGAAGTGCCAAGATGCAGCAGTACTAGTGGAGTGGCAGAACTAGTGAAATTTACTTGCGGGAGACACCCGTCGACCATAGTTAGTGGTTGTCCAATCAAGAAGCAACCCATTGTATTTGTATATATTTGATTATAATCGTATTGGTCAACAGAAATCTGAGTTAACAGGTTAACGAACCTAAGTGTCCTTTTATAAATCTGCAAATGATGTTGTATTTGATTAGAAACTTAATTTGCATTGAACAAAATGTCACTTGATCAGCCTCTCTCTTCGTAAATACTGCATCAAGTTTACGATATGACGTCACATTGTACATTGCGATCAATAAATTGTTTACATTTAAGAAATAAGATATGAAACTAGAGTTTCATTTGAATATGACATGAAGTCGGTCGCGTGTTCAAATTCAATATCGGGCATTATAGTAGATTTGATCACGTACGATTTCATTTCATATCCCAATAAAACTCTAGAAAATGATATTTTATTTCATATATTTACATTTTAATTTAATTCCTGTTACAATGAAAAATAAGCGCTGTAAAAATTTGGACTTGTTATTGAAATGCAACATAACACACATATACGTCATCATATGACGTCATAGTCAAAACCTTCCAATTGTCTCGTGCGGTTTCCCCAACTGCATGATTTGAAAATTGCATGTCAATATAATTTATATTGTCATATAAGGAAAAACATTGGCAATTGTAAATATCTTGTAGTGAAGGATCTATCTAAAGACAAAAAAGCATGTTAGTAATTTCTGATGTACATGTAGTCTAGTGTTATTTTACAGTTATACTCTTAGTTTGTGTGTACTTTGAAGAACGATAGTTTTTTATGACGACATAGTGAGTATTTCTCGTATAATTTGGGTCCACCTCCTTTTTAACTCCTCCTGTGCTGCAGATGAACATGTAAATCAGGATATAATATCCCTGATTGTCAACAGTAATTCAAAATTTTAATGTAATGTTCACTGGTTTTTATTGACATGTCGCTATTTTTGACAAAGGTGGGACAACCAATTAAACGTTGATATTCTACACAGTTGATATTTGCAATACTCCAGGTTGAGCCGCGAGTTAGACGTCCAACATGTAGAACATTATCCAAGGTGAGAAGACGATATATATTCCTCCTCAAAATGGAAACCAAAGAACACCATGAACAAGTTTACATTTCTTGTACTGGTTTAAGAAATAGATTTCTTGTATACTTGAATAATTACGAGAATATAAATCATATAACGTCATTGTTTTATCATTTGACATGTAGCTAATGTAAAAGAGATGGTAGCAAGAACATAATATAGAAAAGTGTATACATGCACAGAAAAATGTTTTGAGCAAGACATTCCAGAAGTTGAAGACAAAGTATGCAAACAAGGTGAAGAAAAAAATTTATATGGAGTAAAAATACAAGTACACAGCTAAATCTTTTTCTTCAGTTTTATATAGTTCTGTAAAATTCTTTTTTAGCATAACATAATTAAATAATTCGTTGAAATATTCAAATTCATCATATTGCAAATAAGTTATTCAAAAGCCACATTTTCTCCGACTTCATCGGTCAAATAAACATAAACGTGACAGGGTTTCTCTGTAGGGGTTAAATAAAGATTGTCATCATATTTTAATTGTAGTTCTAATTCATTTTCCGAACAGGATGATACATTAGATACAGCAAATTTATCCGATGTTTTGGTTTCTTTAAAGGAATCTATTTCATCAATTTCCTCATAATTTGGGCTATTTTCAAGTACAGGATATAAATAAACTGCATCTTCGTTAATTGCTTCCCTCTCTTCATGACGTATCTTGGTCTGAATATCTTTCGACTCCATATGTAAATTTGCATACTTAGAATCTCCTTCGATCTCATCTCTTTTTTGTTTTGATCTGTCTAAAAGTTTTTTTAAAACATAAAATGAAACACAAGATCCAAATAATGTAACAACCACTCCTGTTAAAATGATAAATTTGGTTTCGTTAAACTTCTCCTCTTCCGTATTTCTAGGAAATATAAGCGTTGTGTGAAATATTTTTGTTCCTTTTTGTACTTTATTGGAAACATTCACATTTTTGTTACCAGATTTAATTTCATGACTAACTTTATAATGACCTGTTTTCGTCGTTATTTCCAGCAATACTTTCGAATCTGAAAAATTGAAAGAGAGTATTTAGCTTCATAATTAAGATAACGAGAGACCGCACTGTTTTAAATAAATGACTAAAGATATAAAGATATAATTCATTATTTCATCAAACATTTTTATCCCCCGGAAAACGAAGTTTCGGGGGTATATAATTTTTGTCGTGTCCGTTTGTCTCTTTGACTCTCTGTTTGTCTGTTTGTCCGTGTACATGTGTATTCCTTGTGACAAGACCTTGACCTTTCTTTGGATACCTACAAATTTGACCTTTTGAGCTTGAACTTGGATTTTGACCCACTTTTACACATTTTTTTTTAACTTTGGCCATAACTTTATAACACGCAGTACAGTTAAGGTGCGCAATGGAAATATCGACTAAATTTTGTATTTAAAAATGTATTCGTAATCGGGATGGTGATTATTTTAAGTACATTATTTATATTGGATAATTGTTATTATTAATAATAACTACATATCGAGGACGATTTTATCTAGTATTTAGTCTAGTCACGTGATGTGGCATTCACGCGATTTTAGCACATTGACCTGCAGTATTGATGTTACTTATAAATATCACTAGTGCAAGGGCATAACCAAGTTAAATTTCCAAGTTTAGTATATAAATATTTTCGACACGCATTCTAATTTCTAAAAAGTGCTGCGATCCTGTCTAAATTCTGCAATTTCATTGTTAAAATTATATTTGCATGATCAAATGCTGTATTTTTTGCTTGTCAGCGGCATGAAATATTGATATAATTTAATTGTTTTTTAAGATTTCATCAGGACTGCAGCACTTTTCAGATACCTTAATAGTTCTAGAGTTGAAATGAAAAAGCTTACTTTGATCCATAGAGTGTATGCCATTGCACTAGATCGATTTATTAAGACCCCCCATATTACCCTCCGATGTACTTGCATACAAATATGCGATAGTGTCAATTAAATACGTAATGTACAGAAAATATATATTTATAAAATAGTGAAGAAGACATTAAATACAAGTTATTGGTCCATAGAATATCTGTAAATAATATTTTATTTAATTAGAAAGTACACATTGTGTTGAGAAAATATTAATTTATCTGTCTATCACTCCATACAAACTACGTCACGTTGTAAGAAATGACGTCATATTGACAGGTGTATTGCGATCAGTGACTTGATTATAGCGAGCGCAGCGAGCGTCGCGAAGCGACGCTCGTCACTGCGAGCTCTTAAAGCAACGCCTGTGCGAAGAGAAAATTCGGAGTACTGCACATTCATATTCGATAGAATTTTTGATGCCGTAATTTGGACCCACAATGCATCACTTGTTAAAGCTACGTTAAAGCTACGTTCTCGTGAGAATAGTAGCAAAAGTTCTACTAAAAGTAAAGATACCCTGATTTAATGGATAAATATTGAAGATAAATAGCAAACGAAACGTTCTTCATTTATTTTCAGCACTGTTCAGGGTTCTTTGGGGGAAATGTAACTTACATATGACGTCATGTGACGTCAGAGTCTAGACGCATCAAATGTCACTCGCTATGTGGGATTTAACTAACGACAAAACAGCACGCTGTGGTGAGTTTTTATGTAGTTGGATAACTTCTTACTGGTTAAATTAGGAAATCAACTCATTTTGTGGTATTTTTAAGAAATGCTGTATTACGTATAATGTGTATGATGTCATAGTCAAGTTTTCCCGTACAAATTAGGCTCCGCATCCTTTTTGGTACCTTAACTGTGCAGCACAGTAGATACTAGGACTGTTATACTTCATGTATATATTTTTTGGCAATTAGATACTACCAACTTTGACTTTTTGACCTTGACCTTGGAGATTTACGTATTTATTAAAAAACTTTAACCTTGTCAATAACTTTTGAAGGATAATGTATAGAGCTTTCATTCTTTTCATATGTTATTCATGTAAGAAGACGCTTCATTGGATACTAAGAGATATGACCCTTTGCCCTTGACCTTGTTTGACTTTCTTTAAAAAAACAAACCTTGACAATATCTTTTAAAGCGTTAGAGCTAGTGCTTTCATACTTTACATATTTAATTTTTGTGACAAGACCTTTATTTGATATCAAAACCTTTGATCCTTTTACCTTGAGTTAGAGTTTGACCTACTTTTAATTTTTTTTAAATCTTGGCCATAAATTTTGAACAGTAAGGGCTAAAGCTTCCATACTTCACATATGTATTCTTTTTGGGAAGACCTTCTATTGGATACCAATAACCTTGACCTTCTGACTTTGATCTTGGAGATTTCCGGACATAAAAAAACATTAACTTGACAATAATTTTTTAACGGTTAAGTCAGGGCTTCCAGACTTCATAAATGTATTCTTTGTGGCAAGTCCTTTTATAGAATACCAATAATCTTAAACTTTTGACATTGACCTTACAGATTTCCGGACTTTTTCAAAAATATTAACCTTGCCAATAACTCCGCGGGTATGTTAAGGCAGCACATGGATCAGAATTCGGCGATTTAACACTTTTTTTTTATTATTATGTAACAATAATAAATCGGAAAAGCCAAGGATAAAACTTTTGCTATAAATACGCATTCTATAGACTTCAATGGAACTTATACTACAGTAAGCACTTCACCATGACGTCACCACGTGATATCTATAATTAGAAAATATGCCTTATTAAAAAAAAGTTTAACACTACCCCGGGGATATTAAGATTTAATTTGTAATAATATCTATGTAAAAACATCTCTGTACCATGAAAAGTGCTGCTAGAATCGTACTGTCCTATCACAGAAATAATTATTAAACACTTTCGGACGAAACCTTCCCAAAATTTTTACATTTTGATATTAACATCGAAAAAATGCATCCATTCCCGTAAACCATACGATTCTACCAGCACTTTCCAAAAACAATAGAATAAGAACCTTAGAAAGAAACAAAAATTAAGTTTCAAGGTATGTGGCGTAGTGTTGAACTTTTGCATCTTTTTTGTTACAAACGACAGAGGAAAGGCTGATCGGCAAGTTAACACCCTCCCTGCTTTAATTTTACGAAGAAATTGAAGAAGTATATTCCCATACCTTATTCATAAGCTTTATTCCCACATGAATCACACATGATATTCCTTCTAAATGCTTTTGAACTCCGATTTCTAGTGTTTGTTTACATGAATTTTCGTTACGTTTCACTTTCACTCTGCTACTGCATGATCAACAGTTATGACGTCACGGATTTGGTATTTAATCTCTGTGATAACTACAGAGGACCAGTAACGACAAATTCCCGTTTTTATCCAGCAACTACCCCTTGCATTGACCTAAAAAAGATAACCTAATAAAGCACAGCTTTATCCGGTCACTGCCCTAAATAAGCCTCGTGCATGTATTCCGACGTTCTAAAAGCATTGTGACGTCATGTATATTGTAATGTTTACGCCATGGCGTCATAGTTTCAACTGCAGAAATGAGCCTAATTCTGTCGAAAATAGCTAGTTTGGACGTTCAAATGAACAGAATATGTTGCAGGATAAACAAAATACATGATGAGTGTCTTGAAATATAGCGATATTTGGGCTCGGGTCGAAAACGTAAGAGGGCTCGGCAAGCCTCGCCCTCTATCACGTTTTCGTACCCTCGCCCAAATATCGCTTAAATTTCAAGACAGTAATCATGTATTTTATATATATTATGCCTATGCATATTTTGATACATTTTTACGACCTCAAATCAATCTAAGATATCGATTTTAAGAAATTGTTATCTCTAAACCTCACGTCATATAGCTAACTATGACATCATCTCATTAAGGCAAGTATAATATTTGGTTGTTACCTTAACCAACCTGCGTCATTCAGTACTAGTAGCCTTGACGTCCTGACCTTGATCTTGGGGAATTTAATCTACTTTTAAAATCTTTTAACCTAGGCCATAACTTTTGAATGGTTAGGGCTAGGGCTTCCAAACTACACCCATGTGTTCTTTGTGGAAATACCTTTCATTGGATACAAATAATATTGACCTTCTGTTCTTGAAGATATCTTTACTTATGAAAAAAAATGTAGATTTGCTATAATTGGGAACAGATGGTGATAGGGCTCTCATGTATCACAATTGTATTTCCAGGTACCAATATATTAAATTTGCATTTAAGAAAAGTTTAATCATCACTATGATGCCATCAGTGTTTCACAAACATATTGTTTAAACTGGAACTTACTCTTAATCTTTCATACATTTTCCTTCAAATCGATAACAAAATTTTAAAATGGAATAATCTAAAACACATTTTTTCTGTATTTCTGATCAGGAAAATTTAAATGTTTTTTAATCACATGTTTCCTGCTTTATTTTACATGTATTTATTTTCCAATTTTAGAGAATATTTGTTTTCTCATACCAATATTCTGATCAGGAAATATTTTCCGGTTTCACAAATATCTAAAAAAAATTCCTGATAATCATAGCCTTCCTATTTATTAATTGCTCTAGATCTATTTTTTAAAATTACATTTTACATCAATAAGATATATGGAACACTGATTACGAAAGGAGTTTCAGAAGTTTCATATGAAACGTAAACGTAATGCCATGCACTGTAATGTTATAAGTTTGACGTTTGATATTTATTTCAATTCAATGAAATCCACAAGCGTTCTTATATTGCTTGATATTGTTTTAGCAGATATTCATTTCAGATATTATTTTGTATCATTTGTTTATTAATACCAAGAAAAAAAAACATGTTTTAATTACAGGGAAAATGTATTTTAAAAAAATTAAAAGTTTTACCAAGAGAACGTATAAAATATGAGTATATAGAGGATATATATATATATATATATATATATATATATATATATATATATATATATATATATATATATATATATATATATATATATATATATATATATACAATCCAGAGTTTTGAAAAGATGATCACATTTTACTCCAAAGCGCTTTCGCCATTTGGCTCTTCAGTGGATTTAACATGACATGATAACGTCGTTATCATGACGTCATAGTTAAAGGACAACGTTAAAATTTGGCACAAAAAATGTCTGTAGAAAGCGCCAGAGTAAATAGACTTGACACTGTAAATGATACATATTTACACAATAATAATCAATTATTAATAAATTTAAAAAAAAAACAATATTAACAGTCATTGTTGAAATCAGAACACTTTTCTGTTTAGTTTTGGCTTAAATTTATCAATGAAATATTGTTCTTTGGCCCGTCGTAACTGATCATTTTCCTCGGTAACTTTATAAAACGGAAAGATACTGAAACGTCCTTTACCGCATTGTTCAAAATGTTCGCTACACGGAGTATTTCTTACGGAAGGGTCCCTTATCTGCTGTTTGTGCACTCTAACACGCGTACGGTCGGATATTTTATTCCCTATTTGACCAATGTAATTTTCTCCGCAACCACGGCAAGTCATACAATATATGACGTTCTTGGTTTTGCAGTTCATATTATGTTGAACTCTAAAATTCATTCCCGTTTTGACTGTGAATGATTGTCCTCTTTGTATAAAATTGCAAGTTCCACAGGTTATATAGGGATATGCTTTGCACTCGTAAAAATATTTTTAAAAAATCCTGTCCCACGAGTGAAATAAATTCATATTCAACTACAAAATATTGAATTTTCTATTTATTACATTTTTCTTTGACTTTCCCTTTTCCTCTGTCTATATCTCAAGCAGTCACCGGCTACCTGACGTCATACTTAGGCGATTGGAGGTTCATAGCTAAGTGTTGTGAAATTGAAAACGCCGTAAACGAGGATTTTATCAATATATTTTGGGATCTTTGGCTGTTTTATTCTATGCCAGAATGGTATATTTATTTTCTAATGGACTAAGGGGTATTTTTTTACAACATTCTTGTTATTGGAAGGAAGGTTGAGAGTTTTACCGCACTTCTGATATCCTTTCACACTGTGACAGGATATCACTTTTATTCAATGAATAGATTACAGTATTTCACTGGTTCGAATGTGATACATCATGAATATGTGTTAGTGAAACACTTATGTCACCTTATGACAGCTTATGTCGAGGGATGAAATTTCTCAAATGCAGGTCTAACTTCACGATCAAGAGATGAAAAATGCTGTTATCCAATCAAAAGGCTTGTGTAAATAAATTTAGTTTAAATTCGCAAGTAGAACCTCTCTAAAAGGTTTAACGTCAAACTCGATTTTCATGGTCAAAGGGTAAAAATTTATTGTACCCATGGGGAAGACTTTGCTATAAGAAATACACAAGTGAAAAAAAAGCCAAAACATTAGCTCTTCAAAAATTAAAGTAAGGGTTTAAGTTTCTCAAACGTTGGTCAAACTATGAAGTAAATGCCTGAGAAAAAAATATATACCTATGGAAATATCTTGTACCATTGAATACACATTTGAGATATGAAAACTCTTTTATCAACTGTACATAAGTTATGGGCATTGCAAAATGTAAAGTGTGGTATTCTTGACAAATATGAGTCAAACTCCAAGGTTTATGTCTAGAAGTCAATTAATCTGGTATGGATTAGGCGCTTCACATGCCTACGCAAGGGCTGGTGAAATATCAATTAAAAATTCTTATAAATTCAACTTGTTGCTACACTTGGGAGTTATTCATAACCATATGCATAAAGTAAAGATAAAACCTGAGTCAAATGACTTAGAAATTTATTGTTAGTAACCCACCAAAATGGTTACACGCTCTAAAAACCGTAAAAAATACATAAATTGAATGTTAAAACTATGTCTTTTTATATAGAGTTGGTCTTCGTACCAATGTTTTGTAAACAAATATTGAAAGGGTATGGACGGATGCACCTCCAGGCGCAGATCCAGGATTTAGAGTTGGGGGGGGGCGCCAAAATTAGGCAGGGGGTCTGGGGGCCGCCATGAGGCCCCAAGTGGCGATGCCCCCGGAAGCCCCTGAATTCTAGAGATTTTGAAGGGTTGAAATGAGGTCTACCAAAGCCATGGTGGTTTCCCAGGGGGCGAAGCCCCCGGAACATGCGGAAGCTCCTGGATTCTAGAGATTTTGAAGAGTGAAAATGAGGTGTACCAAGTAGACATACTAGTATTTGATTTACGCTAAGTTTGACAATTTTAGGGGGGCGCGCGCCGGGTGCGCCCCCCTCTTAAATCCGCCACTGACCTCTCACCATCTAAAAAAATATATTGTACGATGACCAACTCTACGAATATAAAAAAGTTAGTTTACCTACTTAAATTTCGGAATATGTTCTCAGAAAAGTCCAATGTGTGTTAATTTGCTGTTATTTAAAGGGCAATGTATATGCGTCTTCGTGGCTCATTGGTTATAACAGCCAGTTATTTGTCGCGAGTGTTCGGATCATATTTTTAAGTTCAGATTGAAATTTAGATGAATTTTTTTTTTCAATAAAAGCAAAATGAATAAGACAATGAATTTATTTACTGTCATAAAATTATATATTTCCTATAATAACATGTTTTCAAGATATATAACATTTTGAATGCATTCACTTCAAGACTACACGATTACGTGATTGAAATGTAAACAGGCATGTGTAGACCAGCACATTATGGCTAGCTGATCTGTATGCAAAAAAGGTTTAAAAGGAAAGGTAAGGCGTACCATCTGTCAACCCCTGAAAACATATTTGATAGAACAACTAACACGCAGTATGGAAAGCATTTCATGTTGAAAGTTACTGTAATGAATATTTAAAAATATAGATATTTTCATTTGAACAGTGCTGTACAAAGTTTAAAAAGTTAGGTAAATTGTTCAACTATGAAATTTCAGATATCCTAAAAAGAGCAAAACGATCCCTGTCGTTTTAACACCCCTCCCCCTTCCCGATTCTTTGTTGGTACCCTTAGAAAGATCCTGTCATAAGGAATACAATAATGAAATATGAAAGCCAAGAAACCATATGAAAAGTTATGAATAATGATCTATTATTTTTTTCAGTCAAACAGACAGACAAACAGCTAGGCGGATGGACAGAAAAAACTATGTACACTGTATATATCCCAAAATATTAGATAACGGGACATAAAAATAGTGGGCTGTTTGTTGGTTAAACTTACACAATGGAAAAATGCATCCTTTGGCGAAATCGCAAAAAAATTCCTTGCAAGAACAGTCTTGCTGACAATCTTTTCCGTATGTCGGATAAGAGCATTTCTGCATACAGTCTGGACCAAAGTATCCTACCAGACATTCTAGAAAATAAGCAAAACTTTCTTTAATTTAAAATACAAACGTTTGTGTTATTAATCCTATTTTTAAAGTAACATCTTATTTACACACAGACTGAGGGATATGAATAAAAATTACCATCACATTCACCGGTCTCTTGGTTGCGAAAAAATCCTGCACAGCATATTAGAAGACCATTTTGTCTAGAAAAATAATTCTAAATATCATATTTAATTAATCCAAATTCAAAATACAAAGTACATGTATATAATTACTCTTACAATTACTCTTACCCGTTACAATATTTACAGTTTAGACAGTCGAAAAAAGCCAGTATGATCAGAAAAATCAGAAAAGCCATTTTAGTTCTGGGCTGACTTTCACTTTGAAAAGCAAACGGATTTTGTTTCCTCATACGAATTTTCCAATTTATTACACAATAACTTCCTGGAGCATTATATGAAGAATACCTACGACATAAGCTTTCATACTGAATTGATCCCATTGGTTGAAATGGCAAATCAATTTGTTAAGTTATGTAGCTACTCAAATTATGAAAGAATGGGTGGCATCAAGATTCCTAGAAAAAGATGTAAATTGAACTTTTATAAATTATATTTACATTTGCAAATGTTTTCCTTTATATAACATTGCTAAAAGCAATGCATATCTATAACTGTATAGATACCAGTACGGGGTCAAGAAGTCATAGAAGTGCATAAGGATAAACGATTCACGTAATTTCTCAGTGACGTAAAAAGGGTTGACACGCGTTCAGTGGATTATATGCATGTAGTTAAGTTTGAACAATAATGCATTTCACACGTTAAAATTCACAATCAGGCAAATATGAATAAGTTAGAAATGTAAATATAAGTAATAAGGTATCATTTTCTAACATCTATCGGGCTATAAATACGTCTAGGTACGAGATTAAATTCATCATAAATTGAATTTAATCTCGTGACTAAGCTGTATTTATACTGATATCCCGATAGATGTTTAAAAATGATATATAAATATATATATCATATATATATAGGATCTCCCATGGTTTGTGATTTGATATGATTTTTTTATCCAACTCGATGTGTGTTTTCTATCCCCTCGCCTCTAGCGCTTATTATTTTAGTTCAGGAATGAAATTTTGTTAAAATACATCAAATAAAGTGAAATTTGACAAATTAAGTAATTCTCTCTATCATACACATGCATCTGTTTATTTACATCAAGTCGCGCGGCGTAGGAATACATAGTGTTGATACGAAAACGATATCACATGAGCTATATCAACGGGATAAAGGGGGAAATATGTGATAAATATATATATATATATATACTCAAATTATATACTCAAATATAATATATATATATATATATATATATATATATATATATATATATATATATATATATATATATATATATATATTTCCATTTCCAATTGTTTTCTCTATGATAAACACTACGAAAGTGTTTCTTGTTTATTTCATGATAATACCCTGTGGTATGTATATTTCTCTATTACTAAAAGGTCAGGTGTCAACCTGCATGTATATCACTGGCGTATAAATATACTCAAGAAAAAAAAAGATGTTTTAATTGTTTACTAAGTAATTTGATATGATATATATCATGAATTATCTTCGGCTCGAAAGCAAGTCACTTGTGCAACGCTGTCCACTATGACCAAGGCCTCGCGAGTCCGAGAACACCACTTCCGTAACAGCCACGTGGAGAAATTGACATTGCCACATGGATCTGCACGTACTCCATCATCTGATACAGACATCGTCCCTTAGTCATTACCATCCGACTTCTTAAGCAACTCAACTTCTTCTGTTATTATAACATCCATACAAATCGGTTTCCTGACCATGCTGACCAGCTCCCGTTTCAGCAACATTGCATTCAATATGGCGGCGGAGAAGTGACATAGTGCCTATTTATGTTCGTGCTTCCGACAACCTAAATCTAGGTCACATATATAATTAAAGTCAACAAGATTACTTTGGTCATCATTTAAAATTCTTTTGTTGTTTATTTTATAAATGTTGATATTTGACTACGGTAAATATAAATAGTCAATAAATTTGTTTCGTTTTTTGGGGGACTATTTTTTTATAGTAAAATTTGACGTCATGGGGCCTTGTGCATTTCAAATCTACTCAATAAGACGGTATTTCGATTTATTTTATGATGGTTATTTCAAGTAAAAATGGAAATATAAGGAATCACTGTCTAGTTTTGAGGGTATGCCAGAGACATCAACAATAGTGGGAAACATGGGATAATTTTAGCATAACGGGCTTCCCCCGTTATGCAAATTATCCCATGTTTCCCACTATTGTTGATGCCCTTGCATACCCTCAAAACTAGACAGTGATTCCTTAAATATATATATATATATGATTGCGCCCATGACAAAAGGGTCCTTATGGCAATTTTGCTAAAACAGAGAAATAACGTCATAAAGATATGACGTTGCAGACTGACGGTGAACTCCGACGCAGATTTTTTTAACCACGTGTTTTGACGTTTGACGCATCCCGAGTTTTTGTCGCTGTTTGCAACATGTGGAATTTATTTTCATTGTTAAATTAATTGAATCAATATATGTATCTCCTAATCCACTGATTTTAATAGATGTAAATAAAAATAATTACAACTGGTTTCAAAACAAACATCTATTGTACATACGTACGTCTCTAATACCAATATTTTTTCTACATGCGTAATTAAATGTATAGAAGCTGTAGACAAGGTGTTTTCTGATAGCATATTGAACCTTTATACTCTAGATAAATTTTATTTATAACATTTTTAGAATACATCTTAGACAGGGTATATCGTAAAAAATATTGCAAAGGAAAATTGTCTCCCTACTTCTTTGAGATCCGCTCCACCACTCTCAAATATACATCGCGATCGCGTCGATCACATGTAAACATTGATTCATCGGTGCATACTGCTTAAACTGTTGTTAAATTGTTTGTACAAATGTTGAAACTAAACATACATCTTCCACGTTTTTTACAAATCTAGCAAGAATGTGTAAGAACGATAGTCAAGATTATTTGTATTTTCTATAAATAAAAATAGGAGAGATAACTCTGATGTCAACAATCGATGTAACAGGGGTACCAGACAGGGACATTCATTATATTAATTGCGTACTTTTTCACATTTCAGCCGCATGTTCGCATGAATTTTCTCCCGCATTATAATATAGATATTTTATGACCAAATAAAAAAAAACTTAATCGTCATTATAATAATGAATTTTTAGATAAAAAGATATTGTTGTATTTTGGGAATAAGGTTAATGAAGAAAAAGGAAAAAAAAAGAAAAAAAAAAGAGAAAACTGCAAACCAGAGCAGACTTTAATTTTTTTTTTCAAATCTCTTATCTAAAGTTTTTTTTTTTTTTTTTTTTTTTTTTGCATGAAATAATTTCATGACGAATTTTATTTTTTATTCCTTATAATCATGATTAAATAAATTAAAATTTAAAAATGTTGTTTTGTCTTATATTCTTGTTGCACAAAGACACTTCAATTTAGAGAAATTAAAACAAGCAAAAAACATCCGAATGAATTTTTATAGCTATTTATTTTCAAGATCTCCAAGTTTAATATACATGAAACTCTTTGGTATACTTACGTGTTGTTGGGTTTTTTTCATACGGACTTCAAATGTTTTAAGCATTATCTGCAAATTAATTCTTTAAGCCATGCCGCACTTTGTCTTTCATAAAAGCTCGATCAACATTGAATGTCTCTTAACAGATCAATTATCATGCTAAAAACTCAATCATCACTGAACTTATAATCTCATTGCAGTTATCAGTGTGGAATAATATATTGTTTAACCTGCCATCAAATTATGGGTAAATATTATTAAATATGCTCAAAAATTATTTATTTGTTTTGGTTGATAAAAAAATCTTTATAAGTTCAGGGTCGGGTTTTATTTCTACATGTAAATGCTAACAGAAAATAAAATTCAATGCTGAAAATACATGACATAAAACCGCAACAATATGCTTGCATTTTGATTTATTTTGGCTGCAGTGCAGTGGGGGTGGGGGTGTCCTTATATATTTCTCTAACATGTAGGCTTTACAAGCTTCCCGCACCAGGCACGTAGCATCGTTTTTGAAAGTGGGGGGGGGGGAGCCAGAGAATTTTTTTTTTAGTTACCTGAAAAAGCTGACAAGCAAAAAAAGGTTAATGTTGTACAAAGTCAAAAATCCTATTTCGTGGGGAGGGAGGGGGGGGGGGTAGAGGCCAACTTTTTTTTAGTACCAATTTTTATACTACGTTTTCCGTACATCACTAATAGTGGGGGGGCAACCAGACTTTCAATTATCAATTCCTGTAGTATAAGTTAGGTTTGGGGAAAAGTGAAGGGCCAGGCCCCCCTGCCCCCCTCCCTCCCCCGTTGCTACGTCCCTGGGCACGGGACCAGAATGGAATTCATACTCTTCAAAACTCACTTTATAGAATAAAATTAGAAAACAACATTAGAATGAAGAGGATTTTTTTTTTTTGATAAGGTCATAAATAATATGATGATTTTTAAGATGTTTACATCCCTACAAAAATCTGACATTTCAAAGCTCAGCCAGTTCACAGACAATTGTCAGGAAATATATTATACAAAACAGTCATATTTAACTGACTGTATATTTAGGCATAAACAATTACATGTTATTAATCTTTAACCAACCCCTACCCCAACAAAAGCTATACATATAAACCGTAAATGGCATCTTTAATTTAATTCTATGGATGTGCTTCTAAAACTACCCATTTCATAAAATAAAACAAGATTTTTTTAATTTTAGAGTATCATTATATACATGATCAACAATACTGAATTCATTGCAATTTAGTTCCAGGCTCATAGTGTTTATGATCGCTGTGCGAGTTTGAAAATGGCAATGCCCAGAATTAAAGGTACAAATATAAAATGAAGAATAATAGGCGGCATTATTTCAAGTCTGCAAGTTGTAAGGTTAATGGTACTGGGTGCACCTAAAACTTTTGAAGTAAGAAAAAAATTATCTATTTTAACTCGTGTTCACAAGAATTGTAAGTTTCTGCTATTTAGATTTTTTAACCCCCCCCCCTTCACCAACATACACATAATCCTACAAATATTAATCCTGGGTTTATCTATTGTGTAAATGATTGCGGATTATAACTCATTCATTTGTTTGTAAACTTTCCACCTTTTGATTGGTTAATATTATACAGTTATTGACTGGGTATGAGGGCAACATATGATTTGTTGGACCTGAAGGTGAAAATGTTGCCCGAGGCCGCAGGCCAAGGGCAACATTTTCATCTTCAGGTCCAACAAATCATATGTTGCCCGAATCCTAGTCTATAACTGTTTTGTTATACCCTTCACTGCTCACTTAAGATTGATCAATTTTATCAATACACGCTAAACTATCAATTAATTTATATGGAAAATTATGGCTTCTTCAGTAAATATAAACATCAAGCTGAGAAAGAACAAAATCAATTATAAGTCTATTATATCACAAAAATTATTTATCACAAAACATACTCTTCCCTTCTACCTTACCTTGCTGTTAGCAACAACTCTTAATAGCTCTTAACTTCGGCTATTTTCGCGTCACCGATATTGAACGATGATTATTAGTTGTGACGTAACAGACAGGTGACGTTGCGGTCTAACAATTCTTATGTAAGACCGGTCAATAGCGAAATTGTTAGACCGACGTAATAAACATTTCTTTTGTTGGACTTTTTATTAGTAAGAAATATATAGAAGGATATTTATAAGGGTATAACAATAAAATATATTTACTGCTAGACTGAAAAAATATTTCGTGTATCCTTTATATTTAAAAAAAAAAAAAAACAGTGTCATGATTGACCCAATGCAGACAGACAACCTTATAGATGCAGTGAATCAACCGAATTTCCTTTTTATTTGCTGTCTATTGTGTATCGTAATTACATGTTACATGTACCACACTTCACAATTTTTCTGTCTTTATTTAAAATTTAGAAAGAAAGAACAATCAAATAAATTTTCACTTCGCAGTAGCATTTAGGTAGCGTAATGTTGTAATTAAATAAAAAAAAAATAATTTTCACATATATGGTAACTAAAGATATATCGTTTATGCTGAAATCTTGACCTATCGAGAGCAATGTTTAAATTAAAATAATTTCAAATGAATTCTACAGGCTTATCCAATGACTCTTGCATGAATTACCAGTAAATATTTTGTTTGAGAAAATAATTGTTTAAAAAAAATGAATGGATGTTGCCCGCTGTTCAGGTTTCCCCTTGGTGTCATAGAAAAGTGAAATGTAAAACAAACACTCACTCATAATACTATACACCACTGATGAATCCATTATATATATAACTATTAAATAATTATTTATAATTAAAAGAGACAACGAGATAAAAATAATGTGCATGGAAAAATATTAAATATTATACAACTATTAATCACCGTAGTAAACTTGGAGAAGAAAATCATTTAACGTTCACTCTGAAAACGTTTGACGTTGTTGAAAAACATGACGTCATTATTAACCTGTTAAAGTATATTTGATAAAAATGAAGAAAAAACCTACTTAGAGTAGACGTAGGACCATAAAAATTCATATTTGACAACTTGTAACCTTACTCTATCAGAATCCGTGAAAAACTCAAAATGCATAAAAATTGCCATAAGGACCCTTTTCACATGGGTGCAATCATATGTATATATATTATATGACTGAATAATTTCCATCACTCTGATTGGCTGAGATCCAACTATGTTAGAAAAATATTACGTTGTATTGACCTGCACGTGACGTTCCAGGTCAATACAAGGATTTATTTCCTCTACATTGATCTAAAAATAGATTGGGGAATTCCAAATTGATACAAATTGTTTTAGAAAGACATTTAAATGACTATGGTTTTTATTTTCATGTGAACAAAACATAAGCGAATATATATTTTAGGTGAGGGTGGTAAGAGGGGATGCAGGGACCCCCCCCCCCCCCCTTTCCAACACTTTTACTGATTAACATTTTTTTTTTTACTTTCTGGCAGTCAGTTTTCCCTGATAATACTCCTTTCTTTCAAAATCTATCCTATAAAAAGACTAACATTACATATTTCTTTCATGACTACTAAAATTGATTTTTTAAAAAAATTTTCAAATTGATACGACTGGTAAGGTTTATTAACATTTTAATTCTGCTACTCTCTTGTATTTGGCTAGGACTTAATAAAATGCAAACAAGTAATGAGCTGTATCATTTTATCAGAAAATCCTACAATAAAACAATTATTGCTGGTTTTTTCGGTCAATACAATGATTTAGCCATCTTCGAAGTACAGTATTCACCTCGCCCTTCGGGCTCGGTGAATATTGTACTCCTCAGATGGCTAAATCATTGTATTGACCTCAAAAACCAGCAATAATTGTATAATATATATATATATATATATATATATATATATATATATATAGCTCATGTATATATATATATATATATATATATACACATATATATATATATATATATATATATATATATATATATATATATATATATATATATATATATATATATATATATATATATATATATATATATATATATATATATATATATATATATATATATATATATATATATATATATATATATATATATATACATGAGCTATATCAACGGGATAAAGGGGGAAATATGTGATAAATCTATATATATATATATATATATATATATATATATATATATATATATATATATATATATATATATATATATATATATATATATATATATATATATATATATATATATATATATATATATATATATATATATATACAGGGTTCTCCACATTTGAAAATTTAACCATGGAGGAAGCTGCGTGAAGACAAAATGTGACTTGAAACGAATGCGCGTTAGACTTCCTAATCTTCATTAATCAATGATTGGTTTTACAATTTTCAAACTTAACAACTGCAATTATTAACACAAAACAATGGAATAACTTACTCTGTTTAAAATTAAAAAAAAATGAATTTAAATTGAAAAGGATTTATCCTAGCTGTATTTTACCTCACAAATGTACCAGCATTTGCCCCAAACTGTAGTAATTTTCCGAAGGAATTAAAAAAAAATGTTGATACATTAACCAGGGCAATTTTTTTAAGTAAACACACAAAGGAACAATTGGATAAGTTTCCTTTTTTCTTATATTCTATTTTTCTAGATAATGCGTTTTTCACCAAGTTTTGTTTACTTCTCCACGTGCCCCAGTGCTAAAAATAGCGCCACCCCACGTTTCATAACAACTTGATGTAACTCTTAAACTAAGACGGCAATTGACACTTACCCAGTCTTAGGTCCTGTGCACATTTTATCGAAAACGATTATAAAGTTAAGGCTCAAAAATATAGCATGGGAAATTGATTAAATACAGAGGAATATAATTTTTTACAGAGTATTTTTGGGCTAATATCATCAAGATTGCCGATGTTAAAAAAAACTTTTTAGTTTCGACTACCCTGGCTCGGATGCGTGTCTACTACGAGACATCGTTACTATGACTTTGAATTCTTGTGAATCTTTTAATTATTATGTAGTGAACTGAACACAGTTAGAAATCAACAAAATAACGTGTAATACAAAAATACAGAGCCCCGTAAACAGTAGTTTGTATAGTAGATAACTGCTCATACTGTTAAAACAGCTGGCCCGGTCGGCCTTCAATTCATGAATTCTCAAGCTTCACAGCACATTCGCAGCTGATCGACCGTGGGTAATTTGCACTATTACCTGTCCCCGTGCGCTTGGGGGGCTTCACACCACGTTGTATAAACACAATTTACTACTCAGATAGTATATTGCAGGTGTCATCTCTGAAAATGCAAGTTTTAAACTCTAAAATTTAACCATGGCGGGCGCGGATTTTAACCATGGCGCAGCAAATTTAACCATAGCGCACACAAATTTAACCATGGCGCACCTCCATGGTAAAAGCCCTTGTGGAGAACCCTGTATATATATATATATATATATATATAGATAGAAAGCACAGAGAAATTCACTTTTTACAAGGATACTCACTTCCGCCCCAGCCCGGGGTTGAACTCTCGACCTACGGAATCTGTCTCCTAGCAGTACAGGAACAGCGCGTTAGACCGCTCGGCTATCTAGGCAAGTTAAAAAACTTGCTTTCGATGCCGATGGAATTCTCACAACGCGGCCCTACACTACACGGTCATTGAGAATGGAAGTGAGATACAGTTATTTGGACATTAGTTTTTTAGAGGATTGTTACCAATACATGTTGTGATGAAATGAATTTTATTTATAAAGCACAAATTACAACAACTCTTAAACTAATATAACTGCCCCAAGTGAAGGAATATTAATATAGAAAGCACAGAGAAATTCACTTTTTACAAGGATACTCACTTCCGCCCCAGCCCGGGGTTGAACTCTCGACCTACGGAATCTGTCTCCTAGCAGTACAGGAACAGCGCGTTAGACCGCTCGGCTATCTAGGCAAGTTAAAAAAACTTGCTTTCGATGCCGATGGAATTCTCACAACGCGGCCCTACACTACACGGTCATTGAGAATGGAAGTGAGATACAGTTATTTGGACATTAGTTTTTTAGAGGATTGTTACCAATACATGTTGTGATGAAATGAATTTTATTTATAAAGCACAAATTACAACAACTCTTAAACTAATATAACTGCCCCAAGTGAAGGAATATTAATATAGAAAGCACAGAGAAATTCACTTTTTACAAGGATACTCACTTCCGCCCCAGCCCGGGGTTGAACTCTCGACCTACGGAATCTGTCTCCTAGCAGTACAGGAACAGCGCGTTAGACCGCTCGGCTATCTAGGCAAGTTAAAAAACTTGCTTTCGATGCCGATGGAATTCTCACAACGCGGCCCTACACTACACGGTCATTGAGAATGGAAGTGAGATACAGTTATTTGGACATTAATTTTTTAGAGGATTGTTACCAATACATGTTGTGATGAAATGAATTTTATTTATAAAGCACAAATTACAACAACTCTTAAACTAATATAACTGCCCCAAGTGAAGGAATATTAATATAGAAAGCACAGAGAAATTCACTTTTTACTTTATATATATATATATATATATATATATATATATATATATATATATATATATATATATATATATATATATATATATATATATATATATATACAGGGTTCTCCACAAGGGCTTTTTATATATATATATATATATATATATATATATATATATATATATACTAAAATGACGAACGTCACGAACAATAAAAATTGTCAAATTTTCAGGACGCCCTGTCCCTTCCTCAGGACAAGGAAAAAAAGTTAAAAAGTCATAAAAACAAAGGAAAAGGAGAAATAAAAACAACTAGCACTACTACTAAACTACTAAACAAGATGACAGCTCTTTTACCAATCCCGCGACAGGGAACTATTTCCCGAGGGCTTGCCCGAGGCGAATAGTCCCTGTCAAGGGTTTGATAAAGAGCTATCCACTCACAACCAGTGGATAAGCGATTTATTATACTGATGTCAGTGATGTGTAATATAATTTTTGAGGTTTAAATTTTTTGGAGTAAGAAAATACTGCAAGAATAATCTGAATTCATTATGAAGTCATTATGACATCATCATTCAATAGATTTAATTTATGGCCGGAAATCAAAATTGGCGGCAATCATTGCATGAAAACTTTCCGAGGGTCGATAGCACAAATTATACATGTACCACGGGGTATAGCTGTGCTATGCAAGAGCTTTAAAAAATAGTTATTTTATCTTCTGAAATTTATATAAGAAACATTTTAACAGAAGTATATAAATGCTGAATATTCCAAGGATTTGTGATATTTTTGCACAAATGTCGATAGATGAATTGCTTAGTTACCATTTGTATAGTTTTGAATTGAAACGGAGTAAAACTTCACTGTACAGAGTAAGTTTCCTAAAGCTTAAATAGTTTAACGAGATTGTGCACAGAGTTTGTGCAACACCTTTATTCTTCCTAGAATCATACATTATTTACTTAAAATTAAAACGATTATATTCTTACTCAAAACCTGTTTGTTGATGTATTTTATTACTGTGGGTATTAAATGATAATTGCGTCATAATTTGACGTCATTATGTGCAGTAGAACATGCCTTGGGAATTAAGTATTATCATTATATGTATAAGAACATCAAATTAAAGTTTTCTCTGCATAATGAATACTCTTCATTTACATTTTTATTACTTCATTTGCGTAGAAACACCTATACCTAGCCTTAAACTTAAAGACATTAATCATTGATGAAAAGAAGTAATGGTGATGAATACGAGCGATTAGTTTTCAATGAAACACAAAGATAAACAAATTCCAATAACCAAAAGAAACGTCATATAACCAAAATAAAGGATATCTTATGTGACATTCTCCCTTGTACAATGAAATTTTACTCACACAAAGTAGACTACAGGATTAATCTGGTTTAATGTGTACTCGCCATACTTTCATACGATGGTTGATCTACCGGGTGGTACATCGGTAGCTTGACCATCTACAAAAGTATCAGTATTGTACTTTTACGAGGAGCGCTGAATGTAGCTCTTTTACAATATAAATATTTAATTCAACGAAAATAACGGGTCATTTCAAGTTAAACATTTTTTACTTTCAAAACAAGCAAATATTGCCATAAAAAAGTTTATATGCACATGATGTTGCCGAAAGATTGTTTGCAATTACTTATTTCTTATAGAGGACTATAATTCTTAGTTCTTAAGTGACCAACTTAGTATGTTTACAGTTTTCTATACGTTGATTTGGTGATTGGAAAAAGAGATATTATTAGAACCAAAAATAGTTGAATTTGCACCATTTTAAAAAAAAGGCTTTTTTTAAAAAATGCTGCGTAACTACTCATAAACTATTTAGTAAGACTTTATTAGTGTATGGTTAATTAAGGAATTAAATAAAATAATTGGGTAGACCATCAAAAACAATGTTGCCATGGAGATTCAAAGATATTTAAATGTAAGCATTTTAAGATGAATTCTTATGAACAATTAGTAGTAGTAGTATTATACTAATTATACATTGTAGTATTAGTATATTTATCCTATAAGAAACAATGTCCGATATAACACATTGGTGCATCTGGAATAAAAATGAGTCATATTGTACCATGATCTCTTTTTCATCTCGAACTTTGACTTCAAGGTCAAATTATAAATTTATCTTCTGCTTCGTAGTTTTAAACTGCATTGTCCTTGAAGTTGTATAATTATCCTTGGTTCATTTTAAAATAGTATATCACAGGTGTATGCATACTGTTAGACAATTCAAGAAAATAAATTAGTGATAGGTTAATAATAATAAAAAAAAAATTGGATAGACTTTCAAAAACATTGTTGCCATGGAGATTAAAATTTAAGCAAATTTGGGTATTTCTTGACGATTTCCTGTTAACTATTCAGATTATAAGAAGTAATTTGCCCTGTAAGGAACAATATCTTCTTATTCCACATGGGTTCAGCTGTAACAGGTAATGAGTCGTGCACTACGTTGACCTTCTCCTCACCTTGACCTTTGACCTAAATGTCAAATTATTCTTCATTATACATTTTATGTCTAATAATCTCTTAACTATATCTCCATGGATCTTGATATTCTAAACGTTGATCCAAATATTTCATACATTGATACATAGTGTATACTGTTTGACAAATCAAGGAAAGAAAGTCATGTTCTACTATTGACCTTGACCCAAGTGGCAAGGTCACTTAATTGAGGTCCAAATTAATAATTATGTTCCTCAAACGAAGTTGGGGA